ACACCCCCACCCACCCACACACACACACACACACACACACACACACACACACACACACACACACACACACACACGAAGATATCTACAACATAAAATGGTGGGAATTTTCAAAAGTGCTCAGTGCTGACCTAATTCTATTCACACTAAAGTTGTGGGAACAAAGTCAGACCACTGTGGCATGTTTTGGAAAATCCCACCTTGACATTTTATTAATACCACTGGTTCTCCCCGTGTTTTGGGGTTTCTTTTTGGTTGGCAATCATGTTTATGGAAAACAAAAACACCCTTAAAAATGCTTGCATAAGTTGAACTCTCGTAATTCTCAAATTTACCCTTTAATACAGGATCATGCACATTACTAATTACTTTTTGCCTCATCCTAAATGGTACAGTGTTGTGTATATTTGATATGTTTTGCCATCTACTGTAGTTTTAATTGAAAATGTTGAGTGGGGCCCATAAAATTGAAAAATGATATAGCTCTTCTGCTCTGTGCACTCAAAGGTGGGAAGAGAACAATGAAAAAGAAGGGTTACTACCTTTAAAAAAAACAGAGCAATAATAAGGACAAAGACCTTCTGTAAAATTGCAAGTCTTGAAAAAGAGGACTCTTTTGTTGCAAGAAGTCTTCCATTAAATGTATTTGTAAAAAATCCCTTTGCCTGGCTTTTTGCCCAGAGCTGTTTCTCCTCATACCTTTTATCTTCCATCATATTTAAAAATAAAAAAAACACTAGCAAGAAGATGCTCTCAGTAAATTGCTGTAGCATATCTTTCCCCTCAGTTAATTTACGTGAATTACACTGAAGATCATGCTATCTCTACAACTTGCAGGTTTTTCATTCATGTACCATTATACTCTATATAGTTATATTGCTTTCAATCTAACAATAAGGGTAAACTATATCATAAAACAAAATAGATGGCCTTTTATCCTCATGCGCAATCACACTAAATTATATGTATGTATTTAAAAAGGAGACAAGGTGCTAATTTTATGGCAAAAATTTTGGAACAGATCCTATTCAATTACAGTATTTTTTCTTTCCCTTTCTTAATTTTTTAAATCCCTTTACAATAACCCTGTATTTACTGCTACTGATGCATGCTGTCTGTGATATAGATAGATGTCTCTTACTGGAGACATGAGGGACTGAACATAGAGAAAAATCTTTAGTTTCACTTTGAAGCTTTCTCTAATGCATGACCAGATCCTACCTTATTAAACTGTTATCTATCCATCCATGTATCCAAGCTTTTATACCATGCTTATCACAATGGAATCTGAGCAAGCCAATCTCTACTTTCTCTCTTCCTTAGTACAATATGCCATCTTTATATTTTTATACAGCAATGAATTCCTTTTAAGCAATAATCAGTTCTATGCATCTCATGAAAATTAAATATCTGTGAGAGATCTCTCACATTTTAAAAGTAGAACACCATTGCTGTATTAGAAATGCTCCTGTTTTGACCATGCAAAGATCATCAGTATGATTTATTTAAAATTTTTAAAGATGGCTAAGGGAGTTCCCCCATCTCACAGTGCTGCAGCCACTGTGCAGCATGCTGCTTGTATTCCTCACTTTACACATTCAGTACTGACGGATGGAAAAAGAGAATAACAACATAAATGAAAAAAGTCTGGTCTCGTAGTGATTCAGAGATATACCATGCAAATAAAATGTTATGCTTGTTGCCCAAGCTGCTTTAATCAATGACCTGATGGAGAGATTTACAAAGAAGATATTTCTTAAAAAACTATGATAGAGACTGGAGCACCTCCATGAGAAATACTTTAAAAATTTCCGCCATCTACTGAATCATTTCATCATGTCTAGTTCTTTGTCAGTTTTTCCCATTTGTTGTACTATATCTGCTTTAAATGTCTCAGAAAGGATGTATTTCATGATCAAATGAGCCAGACAGCCCAAAGCTACAGAACACCTGAATGAGAACATCTAATTCACCTCTAGTATAAATGGTGGATACCCATCAGTAAAGAGGTGATTTTCCCACCCTGTGCAAGTGTAAATCTCCATCTGCTTTGAGTTCCTCCTTGACTCTTAGGGAGGAAAGCATAGTGTTGGCTACTTTATATGAATTTTTAAATTAAAAAAATATGGACTGGGAAAGGGATGTTATTTTCACAACTTATCAAAACTTAGAGACAAATCATTGAGCAAACTGAAAAAGACCAATTAACCAGAATCCAAAACTAGCAACAACTGCACACTGAACTAGAGAGTTTTAGAGCAAGGGTGATATTATGGTTTCATTGAACTTTGCCACTGACTTTAACAAGGCCAGGATTTCATATGTGTCTGAAGGCCAGGATTTCACACGCATTATTATTCCTTAGGTCAAAGTAGCTTCTGCCTGACTTCAGACTAAAATACCTAGTTATCCTCTCTTTAAGTCAAGAAAGTGCTGTTTTACATTAACCTCTACTTTTGGAGACTGAATAATAAATCCAGAGTGGTAAGATATGAAAAAAAATCCAGAAGCCCTAAATCAGGAAACTATATACTATTTGAAGAATCCTTTTGTCCTCTTTGCCCACTTGGTTGTAATCCAATGCCTACATCAGTTTTATCAATATTTTCCATACAGTTTTTCTATAACTTCAATGCATCCTGGACAGCAAAGCTAAATTCATGTTAACAGAATGATACTATGAAAAATATCCCCTTCCTGTGAATTGATTCAAATTTATCCGTCTGATTCATTGCACAAGATATGCAACAGCCATTTTCCATTTCCATCAGAGTCAAAACTACAGTATGTGTCAGCTAGAGCAAAGGTTACTTCTCTACAGCACACAGATACTTACACAATATGAGCCAGGTTTAGAGGTTTTTCAGGCTGGTCAGGGAACATTGGGTGCAAAGGTTCACGGCTGGAAGCACAGCTTAAAGACTTGCTAAGTGCATTAGTTAGCTTCTTAGCAGGTGATTTCTGGGAGGAACAAGGAAGGTAGAGGTAATCTGGACAAGTAAGGTGTAAACTGTTTCTAAATTAAAACTACAGAAAGTACAAAACAAAAGGAAGCGCCAACACTTACAGTCACATATTCTAAACTTTTCCCCTTCTCTAGAGGTCTAATGATTCAAATTTCACGTAGGTCAATAGGAAGATTCCCTTGATCTTGAAAGGGGCTTCACATCAGGCTCCTAGGAAAAGCTGCTCTTTTTCAAGCAGTGGCATACTTTCAAATGGGTCCATTGGGTTCTTTCCCTCTGTAGTATTTCCATATGCATAGATTTAGCACTAGACTCTTTCATACTTTAGTTGTTGTTTTAAAGCCCCTGTCCTTGCCTCCTTTAGAAGCAGCTGCCTCTACTATGCTGTAAAATGCTGCAAGGGCAATGAAATTTCAGGCCCAGCACTGACAGAACTGCATGGACATGGAGACAAAAAGCTAAAAGAAAAAGCCCTAAAAAATTCCATTATTTCCCAAAAGAATGAGCATCTGTCATTGTGCAAACACAAGACTTGGATACCTGGGATCCCACAATTCTCCACACTGCAATACAAGGTAATGCTAGCTTTAAATGATTAGGACAGTCACACACCTTCAGCCCTTACAAGCATATTTATAGTAGGATGACTTCTACAGTAAAATAACTTCCCAAATATCAGTTTCACTACTGAGAAAGAAGGCCCTGTAGCTATCACACACAGCTGAGAACTGGATTCTGTTCTAGGCTCTACAATAGATTTCCCATAAGCCACTTGATCTCTCTGGGACTGTTTTTCTACCAGTAAAATGGAGGATACTACTACTTACATATCAATACAAGTTAGAAGTTTGATTTGTTAAAGTTTTTAAAGTGCTTTGGCATGGATGGCACTATAAAATGTAAAAAGTTCTTACTGTAACCAAGATATTAAGAAGTATTTTTATTATCAGAATTCCAGCTTACATATTACAATGAATGTGAACAATTTAGAACTCTCATTCTACGTTGTTACAGAAGGAACATGACTCTGAATGTACTCATGTTGGGTTTTATTTCAAACACACATAAATGAGTCCACATCTCCAATCTCTTGGAGCAGCTCAATGTTGTGTGTGCACATGCTTTTAAACTTTCAAAAACCTAACTTTTTAAAAGTAGACCAAGTATAAAAAAAATGTTCACACAACATAAGTGAAATAGATATGATCTTTGAAAGAACACTAGCAAACACAGTGTCAAGGCAACTTGAGACCTGTATTTAAATACTGTATTAACATCTGCAGTGAAAACATTTGGGTAGTAGCAGAAAATGGATATATATGCAGGTGGAACTTTTTCCTGCATCTACCAAGGATTCTGAAGCACTTTCACGTGAAGTTACTTAATTCCCTGATCTGCCTAATTGTACCACCCTTGCTGCAGCAAGAGAAGATGTCACTTCACAAATGTGTGATTAAAGGATGAGAACAAGAGCTGCATGGCAGACAGTCCTAATCAAAGTCTAAACAAAAGGCAAACCATATCCACTCACTGTAAGAGCCCAGAGGACATCTGTAGACCCAGACTTGCTCTGAGGCAGTGCAGAGCCATGCGACTGGCATACTAATCAAATAGTGCACCTTGTCTTTAACCCTTGGCTGTTCTATGCACCATTAGTATCAGGCAGGCAGATTATTTCAAGCATCAGAGTTTTAACTATTTGAAATATGTTTGGCAACTTTGCCTACAAACACACATGTGTATGTATAGTTTGTAGTCTTCCTACATAAAAGACCAGCTAGTTCCCTGTACATGTCTACTGGAAACTTGCTTCTTCTCTTGGGCTATGACGAGCCCAGATTTGATGACCTCTGGGAGAAAGGGCTAGACTTGGCTATTTGCTGAAGCACTTATGCCAGCTGGGTATGAATGACATTTTATTTTTTAACAATGTCAAGGTGGGTGGGTGCTTATTTCTATTGCTTCATTTATTATGACTCTAATGATGTTAACTGTTTGAAAGCTATTGTGATGGGACTATGATAAATATACATTACACACATACAGTTCAATCACTTGCTAAAACATATTTCACAAAGAGTTGAATGCTGCTTTCATATTCCCCATAATTTCATTAACACATATCCATTAACATATCAAAAGAAGCAAGCCGGAGAAAAGCTAACAATTATTTTTCTATGGGTCCCACAGAAATGAAGCACTTACTGTGAAAATAGCACTCTATTCCAAGACCCTGCTGCAGCTGTCTTGACATCCAGCACAGTGTTAAACTGCTCAAATCCAGACTCAAAAAAAATTTCTCACCTCCAAATATAATGGTGAACAGGGACCACAATAGTGATGTCTCTATTACAGAGCTGGTTATCTATATTGGCAACAGAGGTTTTATATTTTGCAAAATAAAGCAACTGAGTCAGCCAGTTCCAACTCCATCCTCAGGATTCTCTCTGACTGCTGGAGTTCAAATAGTCTGCAGCACTACATGAACCTTCCCTTACCCATGACGTGTACTCTTTCATTTGGTGCTGGTTGCTATGGGAACCACTGGCATGCCCTCTCCAGAAGCAGTCCTGACAGAGCTGGTAATTGTGACACTGTTGGCACCGATACCGAAATCCCATCATGCTCTCACTGTGGCAGTAGGAACACTCAACAGGGTGGAAGACTACAGGAGAGACAAATTTAAAAACAAAACAATCAAAAGAAATAAGAACCAAATTAAGACTGAAGTCCCTAAAAGGGAGTGAATTCTTTCTTTGTTTTGAGTAGCGTTCAATACCAAACGCCACTCACAGTCATTGGCTGCTGAAGATTGACACTGGAAAACTTCACAAATCCTTAATGGATCTCTCCCAGGAGAAAAACTACACTTTTTACTTTTCAATATCAAGTCCTTATCACTTCTGCAGACTCAAAAGTGTGTTTAACAGAAATGAAATGCACTCCAGAGGAAACAGAAGGCATTTGTACACGTTTGCACCGCAGCGCCAGGCGTTTTTAAAAGCACCCAGTGGTGTGGCACGTGCATTTGTATAAACGGCAAAATGTGAGTCAGTGCTGAGAAAATGGCAGCGGTGCACTAATGAATTAAAACACATGGAAAGTTCAGAAGTGCACTGCTGCCATATTCTGCATGCTGATGTGCATTTTGCCACTTATGCAACTGCATGCGACACAGTGCAGCGTGCATCAGCCTGCGTGTGGAGCAAACTCAATTAATGCAGTGTACTCCGACCCGACACATAGCAGCACAAAAATGTGTGTGTATCAATGCCCATAAATTAGTAGGAAATCCACTTCATTCTCCTCTGGTACTCTGGGAAGGTGTAGGTTTTAATGTTATCTTTAGGAACTGGGCCAGTGGTCAGATTTTCAAATTCAGGTGACCAAAAGTAAGGTGCCCACATACATGTGAACATTTTTACTTATTCAGTTGGATGCCAATTTTAGTCCTGTAATGCTAACACGGACAACTAACAGAAGTTAAGTACCTAGATAGGTATTCAGGCCACCAACATTTGGGACCCATATTAAAAATCTGGTCCTAAGAGAGGACTCTACTTCATCCAGCATTTTAATCAAGACCCATAAAAGAAGGATTCTCTTCACCAAGAACACATGCCTAGTATAATTTGTGGCATTTTCACTACCCATGGGTCTCTCAACTCCTACCTTTCTCTGCAGTGACACACATTGTATTTACCCTGTACCATCCCTCCCCCCCAATACAGACCTGGGAGGGAGGACGTGAAAGGAATTCAACTGGCAACTCTTACCCTCTGCTAATAGACAACCCTCTGCACATCAGCCCTCATCTTTCCTGACTAAAACTGAGACTCTCCCACTTGTTTTCAGGCATGGTTTCTCCTTGTGGCAACAGGCCTGCTATTAGCCCAAGAATTTTTTGAGAGAGGGAAAATAAACAGTTCTCCTGCTTAACTAGAGAAAAATTGAATGGGAAAATTCTTTATTTTCTCTAAAAATGTGTCCCTATCAATCAGAAACTTAAGTATAAAGGCCAAAAGCGGTTCCTCAGTTTTTACACTATTCTTTCTTTATAGATCTACAGGACTTAACACAACAAAACAATTATCACTGTTGTTTGCAAATGAGAAACTCACCTTAATAACAGGTGAGTTATTAAGGACATACTACCTTGAGTAGGTACAGCTTGCTAAGCAAGACTGTTCCTCTTTTCTGTTAAAATTCAAAGTGCTGTCCTTGTGTTCAGCACAAGCAGACTAGTTTTGTGTAAGGGAACTGTGTTGGAAGTTTCCACAATTACATGGGAAACTACGCAGGGCTTGTGGGAAGGCTGTTGGTATCCACTGACCAGATAAGAGCTGGAGTCTTCTTGTGGGTGCCAGAACCATCTCAATGTAGCAGCAGTATTTCTATTCTGCTATGGACCCAATGCCCATGTCCAGACCCTCCATATCAACCAGGAGAATCGCTGCTCTCCTGGTAGAAACCATGAATGTACAGATATTCCAGCTTTTTCTCCTAGAGAAAGAATGTCTGTTCTGGGAGAAAAATAACCTGAATCCAACCAAGTAGAAGCTGCTCCTGGGAGAGTTGCTATGGGAAAATGAATGTCCGTACACTTTCCCATGGCTTAATTCTTCCTGAGGACGAGGAGGGGTAAAGATATGGGGGGAATACTTCCTGTGCCTTCTAGAGATGGGGGAAACCCCCCTTTCTGTAGGCCAGGAGGGGAAGGAAGGGGAGGGGAGGAGAGCATCTACCACTTACTCCCTGCTGGTTGTTCACGCACTAGAGTCCCTGGTGCAAGCATGGCAGGAGGCTTTGTTCTGCCACTTGGCTCCCAGGGACCAAGTCAAAATGAGGGAGCAGCATGGCGAGTCCCCTGCCTGCTTCTCATACTGGAGTCCCCAGTGTGAGAAGCAAGCAGGGGGCCTTGCCCTGTTGTTTCAGTCCCCCCCTCAGAATGGGAGGGACTGGAACAACTCACGCATCCCCAGATCAACATCGTTCCAGTCCTGAGAAGGCATCAGGAGTGTGGGAGAAGGGGCCGTTGCAGGCTGAACACCCGTACTGCTCCCTTTCCTGGGATAATTTCTTGCAGCGAAAATTTTCCACCGCTAGAAATTAATGTTTGTACACAGCCTGTATGTGAGAAACAAACCCTGCAGACCTGCATATTTGATTTGGGAGTGGCTATAAACTTACCTCTCCCAAAAGACTCAAAATGAAATTGGGACCTTAATGGAAAAAAAAAAACTGGTTAGAGTTCTGTGGCTTGTGACATGCAAAGTGTCAGGGTGACAATATTTGGATCCTGGGGAGCATTTTGAATAAAGCTTTTGTGAGCAATGTGTGCTAGTGTTTGCTCCCTGAGCAACTAGATCCATGGGCAATTGGATTGTCATCTCCCTAGTCGTTGGGCACTGCATGGAGTTGGGGTCTAACACAAAGGATCAAACTACATCAGAGCTGTCAAACTTATCTGGCCCTGTGGGCTGGATGAGTGGAGTGGGGCTGGTACACAGGCTGGATCAGGCCCATGGACCCCTGCCCACATGCTTGATCCAGTGCCAGCCTGAAATGGTGGCATAAGTAAGTGGGTGCTGCAGTTCAAGACCCAGCCCCAGTGTTGGTGAGCAATGGACTAGATGATCATAATAGCTCCTACTGCAGAGAAAGCACAGTGCTTCAGCAACTAGTTAGGGACAAGCATCCTAAATTTAAATTCTCATCTTTTGTAAAAGGAACTTACTAATTTCTGTTTCCTGAATGTATTGTTTTACAGGTTAACAGCCACCTCCTCCTAATGACTGCTTGACAATTTATGGTCATTAGTTCATGCACTGAACTGAACTATCCTGCCAGATAAATTCTAGTGGGCAAGAACTGCCTACCCATTACTTCTCTAAGGCTGTGATCTCATAGCTAATAACAGTTTCAGGCTTTTTAGCTCTCTGGTTGCTGTAGCTCTCTGGTTATCCAGGGTTTAGAAAAAAGAAGATATATTCAGTGCAACCCCTAGGGCAGGGGTAGGCAATGTTTTTGACTGGAGTGCTGAAAAAACTGCAGTGTCTACCTTGTAAGGTGCAGGAGTGCCAACATGCCAGAAAAAAAAACGGAAGCAGGGAGGGAGGGTATATGGCAGGATGCACTGCATATTAATATAGTTAATAAACATAAATGTTGCTTTTTTTTTTTTTTTTTTTTTTTTTAAAGTAAATACCAGGTTTTCTAAAAATGCAAAACCTGGTGACAATAAATAATACTTCATATACTACGCGTGTTGTTGTGTATTTTTTGTTAAGCATGTTGTGATGAGTGAGAGAAAAAAAGACAGAGAAAGAACAGAAAAAGAGGAGAAAGAAAAGAGAGGGAAAGAAAGAGGGAAAGAGAGAAAAAAGAAAAAAAAAAGAAAAAGAGAGGAGAGAAAAAAGGAGAGATGAGAAAAAGGAGAGAAGAGAGAAAAAAGCAAAGGAGAGAAAGACAGAAAAAAGAAAAGGGAAGAAAAAAGAAAAAGGAGAGAGAAAGAGAAAAAGAGGGGAGAGAAAGAGACAAGAGAAAAAGAGGAGAGAGAAAAAGAAGAAAGAAAAAAGGAGAGAAAAGAGAAAAAGCAGAAAGAGAAGAAAGAGAAGAATTTTTGCTATCCCTGCCCCAGGGTACAGCAAAAATTAAGTGAGGCGACAAGATGAATGATTGATATTAAAGTCATCCTATTTTATTAGTAGCTATAAAAAGCACCTGGTATCAATGATGACAGCACTGCATCTCCTGTAATGCTATTCATAAAGTAAGATCATCACACAAAACTTTGATGTTCCCGCTACAACTTTTATTGTGTAACTATATGTGGTCTGCTGCCATTACTTACCATTTTCAACATTTGCCAGCCGATGCAGAAGTGGTAACCACACCAGGCACTGAGGTGGAGGATCAGACATGAGAGTGTCCAAGAAAGCGTTTAACGTGACTTTCTTCTGCTCAAACAAACAAGCAAGGGGAAAAAATAGCAACCAGTGATATCAGAATGACTTTCTCTTGTCTTTATTGACACAGAAGTGTTAAGGAATAGAGAGGTTAAACCTTGAATTATAAACTTTTACTTTGAAGAGAAAAAGTGACATGGACAAAGGTTTTACAAACAAAAGACAAAGTTTTTAGTGGGTTCAATGTCAACTAGTTCTTGTCATCATGTGCTTCTTTGCTGTTATCAGTTCCTTGCTCACTTTAGGAAAGTTGATCCCCCAAAGACTCTTTTTGAATATAGCAATTTCCTCATCTGTTCATATTATTACACCCCTTGAGTCCTACATAATACACAAAAGCCACTACCTACCATAGAGTGATTGACACTAAGAATTTCACTACTGACATTTTTGGGAAAAAAATTGAAATAGTTTTTAAATAATTTTTGAAAATGGGACGTAGGAATCTTTGTTTATTAGGCGATTTAGAAAATTTTTCTTAAAATCTTAAATTTTATTGGGGGGGGAAGGGTGGGGTGGAGTTTGAGACTCAAATGTAAATTCCTGTCAGATATCTGCCTACTATAAAGACTAATTCTTTCCCTTGTATAATGGTAGACAACTGGCAGCCCCTCAGAAATCAAGAACAAATTCCCTCCCATGAAAAAAATAACAGGTATTAAATGTTGATTCCCATTGGAAACATTTATAGATAAAATGAGTAGTACTATATTTGTATAGGATACCATGCTTCAATTAATGTTCTCATACATTATTAGCCAATTTCACAAGGATTGCTTTTCACTCAGTCATGGAATAGTCGAGTTGGAATGGATCTCAGGAAGCTATATAGTCCACCTCCCTCCTTAAGGCAGACTGACACCCGGACTAGTGTCAGTCAAGTGTTTGTCTAATCTACTTTTAAAAATTTCCAAGGATGGAAATTCCAAAACCTCTCTGGATAGCCTATTCTAATATTTAACCACCCTCATAGTCAGAAAACTGTTCCTAACCTCCAACCTCAGTTTTCCTTGTTGCAATTGAAGACCATTGTTCCTCTCCTTCTACCTCCACCCACAGAAAATAATGCATCTCCAACCTCCATATAACTTCACTTCAGGTATTTGAAGACTGTTATCAACCCCCACTTGAGTCTTCTCTAAACAAAATAATCCCAGTTCTTTCTGCCCATCTTCAGAATTCATGTTTCCCAAGCCTCTAATATTTTTTGTTACTGTGCTGGAGTCTTTCCAATTTCTTGAAGTGTGGGGTCCAAAACTTGATAGCCCTCTAGAAGAGACCTCACCAATGCCAAATAGAGCAGAATAATCACTTCCCTTTGCTTGCATGTGACACTTGTAGTAATGCAGCACACCAACATTGCTGGCCATTTGTGCAAAAAGAGCATGGTTGGCGTATGGTCCACTGTGACCCTTAGGTCCTTTTCTGTAGTACTGCAACCAAGTCAATCCTTTCTCAATCTGTATTTGTACACACAATTGTTCTGTCCCAGGTTAAGGACTTCACAGTTCTTGTTGAATTTCATTTGATTGATTTCTCCAGTTTATCCAGGTCATTCCGAATCCTAGCTCTGCCTTCTACAGTGTCTGTGACTCCACCCAAATTGGTGCCAGGAAGAAATTAGCTAAGTGTGCACTCAATCCCATCCTTCTCATTTTATCTACTAAGGAAATGCAGCCTCCTCTAAAAGGAAAATGACAGCTGCTCAATAGTGCACAGTACCACTGTGGTATTGTGGACTGTCTTTTTATGGGCTTCCTTCCTTCCTTCTCATGCCCTTGTACCAAGGTAGTCAGCAGAATTCACATATCCTTTGGAATCTGACAGGGCCACACCATGAGCACTTCTGCTACGGCTTCAAACTTGCAACCTCTGGGCTGTCAACCATGTGCCTTAGCACACAAGGCACCCCAGCCCTTTTTATGGGCTGAGCTTCCCAGATGCAATCTGGGGAGGGTAGTGAGGTGGGGGAGGAAGCTGTGAAGGTCTTGGTGTTCCTAAGCAAAGCCAGCTGGAACCAGACACAGACAGTAATTACAGCGCCTCAGAGCAGCTTTGCTGCTCATGTATAGGTGCTGGAGCAGAAAACAAGCTTTAGTTAAAGCATCCCCACTGCCATTTTTAAGCACGGGGATGCTTATACATGAGATGCTCTGGGTGCTGTAATTAGAGTGGCGCTTGTAGCTGCTCCAATTAAAGCATCCCCTGCCACTCCTGGAGCAGGAGTATAAATTCCTTACATCTACATGGCCAGGGTCAGATCCAGAAGGCATGTAGTGGCCTGGTCACCCCACACTTTGGCTGTTTCTCATGTGACCTCTTGGCATGGCTGTGGCTGGAGCCCCTGCTTTTGCATGGCTGCAGAGCCCAGAGGGTGAGCACTGCCACCACTGCTTGCTCATGCCGTCTTTCCTCTCCCTGTTGTTGAATTTTTCAGGGAGGAGGCAGGGGAAGGGTGAATCTCAGCAGCATTCACCCTCTGGGCTCTGGAGCCATGTGAAAGCATGGGTTCTGGCCAGCCCTTGCCCCAGTCATCTGGTAAGCACAGAAGTCACTGCTCATGTGGAGCTCCAGCAGGAGTCTGTGCAGTCCAGGCAGTGAGCTCAGAGTTACCACACATGTGCAGCACAGCCCAAGTGGAGAGGCTGTACCACCCTTACCCTGGATCTGCTAGTATACGTAGCAGAATGCAGTGCTGTGGAGAGATTTCCTGAGCTAGCTATAAACATATTAGTGCCGCACACATCTGTGTTAGGTCTGTGTACACTATCTCCATAATTGGAAATAGTACAGCTACATGAGTGCAACACCACGTCCAGGCTACTAAGCCCTGTTTCTCAGCACAGCTAAAGATCCCAGTTGAAGTGTTTGGCTAACAGATTTATTCTGCTTCCAGTCCTGGGATTATTAACCCAGACACCACTTTGTACTAACAGAGCTCTGGTCCTTCAGCTGCTGGAGTTAGCACATGCTGAACTATAATTTCAGATGTCTCCACTCCATGCTGCCTTGGACATATCCAGAGTAAAGTAGAGCTCTTGAAAGAATGGAGACACTGAGTGATCACTGAACATCGCAATGGTTTCAGAACTGTAAGTAGTAAGAGATGTTGTGAAATTGCAGATGAAATGGATGCAGAATGCAACTACTAGCTTTTTTTGTAAAGGAGGTCATGGAAGTTTTAGTGAACAGATTGCCAGATGGAAAGACAAACTGACAAGACCAAAAGACATTCCAAGATAAGACTTCCAGCATTAGAGCTTACCCTAAAAAATACCACCCCCCCAAAGAAAATATCCCACACACACACTTGGTTTTTTAAAGTCTAAATGTATACTAATTTAAAATTTAATAGGAAATGGAAGAGATGCATCAGTACCAGAAATTAGCCTGTGCTAATGAACATGTTAAAAGGACAGTAACCATCTGCCTGCCATCTACATGACCTTCTTCTCATCTGAGAATGAACAATAGCTTCCCTAATAAAGGAAATTCCATGTTGCTAAGCACCAGCTCACAAAGTAACTGTTTCCCTTATGGAGCTTTTCTGTGGATGCCTGCCATTGGCACTGCTGACCAGTGCCATCAGCAAATGTCACTATTATCAGTGGCACAGCTAAAAATGGGAGAAAGGTAGAAAGAAAACTAGTGAATGAAAGTTCATCTGATTTCCCATAGCACAAATAATCAAGGAGCCTAAAAAGTTCCCCCTGTTCCTAGGGAGAGAGATATTAGCTGTATGCACAGCAGTGTTCTAAACAAGCAAATAGATGCAGAGGCAAGCACACCTTTTTCACAGTAAAATTCTTTTTGAATGGAGCTATAAACTAAAACTTCATTCACACCAAATAAAGCAATTTCAGCTTCCTTGATAGTTTTATAGCTGCTGTCTTGCAGTGGTCACTAATTTTACGGATTAAAGAAACCAACGTCCCTTAAAAGGACACTGGCAGAGTAATTTCAATATATTTTAAAAGTCATTTTTCCTCCTGCAGTTTTTAACAACTGTTTGGAACCTTGAAACTGAGAGCTATTTCCTAAATATATGCTATCTAAAAATGAAGGCCAGGAGTGTGCAACAACAATTAGCTAAGTGACAGCACAGTGGATTTAGTGACCATCTTTTTAGGCTCACTATTGATTTGTTTTTTTTAAATAGGAAGTTCTTTCTTTTATTGCAACACCATTTTCTGATGGGAGGTCAAATATCGCATCATGTCAATTCTCTCTCTCAGAGAAAGAGGTGATGCCAAAATTTCTTTTGTAAGCCCCATGCCCTGAAGAAGGAAAGTTCAAATCAATTACTCCCAAGATTTCTGTTCTGCAAATTCCAAGAGAAGGGGAAGTTGTAGCTGTTATTTTAGATGGCCATTCCCTCTGGGAGTAGCTCACAGGCATGGGGAAAATGTAGATTAGTTAAATAAATTAATGTAATGAGAAATGTTCAAGCATGTCCAGTATTTTGGGGAAAACTGGTTTGAGATGTGAGCTGAGAAGGATTCAACAGTGTGAGCAGAGAAAAAATATTTTTCTATAACTTTTAAAATCTGTGCAATAGAGATCTGAAAGGCTTCTAATACGTACACAGGATCCACATGAAAAGTGAACAAAAGGAGATAACTTGAGTAGCTCAGCTTTTCTCACTGCCATGACCTACTGGCTAGGGACAGACATTCAAAAAGCCTGAGCCTGAATTGATTCAATCTGTGCAGGTTAGTTTAACCTGCTATCCTGAATCAGTTTGTAACTGTCCAGACATCCCAAAAATGCAGGCACATGCCTGCAGTGGCTCAGGCTAGAAGCTGGGGGCGCTAGAGCAGCCCTCCCTGCCCTTCCACAATACTGAGCTGAGGGGGGCGTCGCCTGTCTGGCAGGACACTGATTAGGGAGGGGTTCCCCCCTCTTTTGACCAGCCCAGCAGAGAATTGATAACAGTGTTTATCAACCAATTAAAAAAACAATGTAGGGATATTACCAACTACCTGTTGATT